CATGTACACACACAGCTGGGCATGGAGAGCAGGGAAAGCAAGCACAGCACATCTGAAGATAAATATACAACTATGGCATTTTTATCCTCCTGCCTTTCCCTCCCTCTTCCCCTTTTCCGCACACTCCACGGGCATCTGCTGTAGCCAAGATGCATTTACATGTCAGGGTCTAAAAAGAGAGAAGGTGCATATGTAAAGTGATCTAAGTTGGCCTTCAGCTGATATTGCTGCCACAGCAGGGAACCTGCTCCAGGGGAAACATGTACCAAGGTATTTTATCAAGTAGCTCTGAGTGAAGCCTCCTCACTCCATAAATATAACAACAGCAATACTGAAAAGACACACGGTGGTTATTAGCCAACAACGAAGCACAAAGGAAGTATTTATTTCCCCTCCTGTAATGCTTTAAAGAAGTCCCACTTCAAACCAAGGGATTTATCAACACTGCACGTACTCAGGAGCACAACATGCAAAGGGGAGGTGGAGTTTGTTTAATAAGTATCTTTTGAGACATGTTAGGAAAAACAGCTCTGTACTCCAGGCATAACCCATTTCTCCTTTGCCATCCCTTTCAATATTGGGTGGAAACCTGGCTTTCCTACAGCACCCAGCTACTGACGTTCTCCGGCTTCCTCACCGGCCTTCAACCCTGTGACAGGGGATGCTTGCCTGGACACCAGCACCCTCCTGCAACAACCACACGCTGCTCAGGATCCTTTTAAACCCCTTCACGAGGGAGAAACGAGTCATATCTGCCTCTCGCAAAGCAGAATATAGCAGTGTAATAGAAAACCAAGTGCAAAAAGCTTCCCCCAAATTGGGGCAGGATCTTCTTGCAAGCAATGCCATTCGTCTTGCTGCAACCCGGTTTGCACGTAGCAAAGCACAGCTATTCTTCAAGCATAATTAACCTTTGTTTTCTGTCAGGTGGCATTCAAATGAGGCCCTGGAAACTTGTATACTACAAGGCCAGCTATTAGGCAGTAGGGCTATAAAAGCCGACCAAGACAGAGACAGGACTTAAGTAGTTTCTGAACATTTCTGAACACTTCTATAACCAAAAAACAGCAGCTTGTGCTGCAAAACTTGCACAGTGCTTCCAACACTGACAATCATGCAGACATTTCTCTCCTCAAATGCCACTGCCCAACCATTCAGATATTCAGGACACAAAAGAAAAAAAAGAAAAAAAAAAAAGAAAAAAGAAAAATCATGGCTATCTTAAGAGGTGAAACACAAGACCCATTTTCTAAGTCGTTTTACTCTCTCTATTCTGTTTACCCATTAATGCAAGTAAGTACACAGACTGGGTGCATGCATCTCTTCATAATTGCAATTTCTGAAGCATATGTGGCTCATCTTGAATTTAATAACTTTGCTGGTCACTGAAATAAGTGATGATTGATTTAAACAGCTACTTAGAATGCAACAAGTTTGCTCGCTGCTCTTTGTTGCTTTCTTCCTTTCCTTCATGAAATAAACACTATAAAAAGCCAGTTTAAAACCAGCACAAATAGCACTAATTGCCCATTATCATTTAGATAGATAAAAAAATTACCATAGCTTCTGCTTGTTGCTTCCCATACAAATCTTATTAGCTTTATTCCATTGCCCTTCCTGTAAAATAGACATACCAGCTGCTCTACTTCAAGATAAGTGTACTAGAAAATTTTGCTCTTCCTATGTCAACTTTTCTTCATTTGGAGTCTGTTGTGTTGAACATGTGGGGCAAAGCTTCCACATGAACCACAAAAGACACCAAAAAAACGCTTAAACTATGAATTAGGAAGTTCTGATCTTCATCCTAGCATCAGAAGCCACCAGGTGCAGACGGCCCCGAGGCTGCTGCCCTTCGGGCACTGTTTGAGGCAACTCAGCCAGTTTCAACTACATTTGATAGAGACAGAGGCATCTTGGGGATGAGCTCTCAAAGAATATCCCTTAAGGGTCCCAGCAAAGGCTGAACCTGCAGGACAGGTGATAACGTGAGTAAAGAAACCCCAGCATTTTCTGGAAAACGCCACCACTCTTCCAAGGGAATCCATCTTGGCGGCTCATAGGCTGCAATGAGGCTGCTCCTCCCGCCCGCCACACTCCGAGATGGCCGCCCTGAGGGCCGCCCCAGCGGGAGTGGGAGCGGAGCAGGAGCAGAGCGGGAGCAGGAGCAGAGCGGGGGCAGAGGGGGGG